ATCTTTCCGGAGTATTGGCAAAGCTGTCACAAGCAAGAGATCAACGTGGTGAGAGGAGCCCCAGATTCACTTCTTATATTCCCTCCCCTTTTTTCTTTAATAATATTTATCTTGAGCTCCCCAGTGAACTGCTTCTCTCTCTGTTTTTGACTGCCTAACCCAGACCGAACGCACCCTCGATCCTGCCTAAACGCAGGGCTTCCTCTGGCAATTGCTGCGTGAAGCTAAGTCCCTGCAAGCCAACGCAAGGAGCTCCTCCCAAACCCCATCTCCTTTGTGAAACAACACGGTGCTTGTGTCGCCAGAGGATCCCTTCGTGTGCCTTCGCTGGACCTTCCCCAGTCATCCCCATCCCTCCTTCCACCACCCACTGTGCCTGCCTCAGAGCACTGCAAGGGTGCAAGCAGAAGGCATTTAGGTAAGCCCCAGCTCCCAGAAGGTCCATAAAAGCCTCCAGTGGAGGTTTCCTCTCTCTCCGCTTGAACAGAAATAGTAAAATTGGTCTTACCCTCTTCAGCTACAAGGAGAAGTGTCTGGAAGCGAAGGCGAGCAACTGAGGAGAACTGGGCTGAGCGGTCTTTTATACGTCTCCAAAAGTTATCTCGGATATGAGACACCTCTTTGCAATGACAATTTAATTATTTCCGCGCTCAATCCCGCAGATGTTTGCGCTATCCTATTTTTAGCCTTTCCTCTTTGACGCACTCTATTTCATCCCGTATGTAATTCCTAATGCATTTCCTATATGGATTTTGGAAGGCATTTCCTTCCCATTTCCTGGACACTGACACTAATCTCATAGGTGTTAATTAGTTTGCCAATGGGCAACAGGGATTGCATCAGTGACAGAAAGGTCTTTATGCCTCAGAAATGCTGACTCCTGGGGTAGGCCTAACGTTTTGTGCAGGTGACAGCTCAGGATTTTAATTTATGTGTTGCTGAATGCCAAGAGGAAATGGGATTACCCCATACTCGTGGGCATGGCACGATGCTGGGAAGTCTGTTGTGACCTCTTGGGTTTCTTGGTGTGGCAAAAAATAAAATATTTCTGACTCTTCACATGTTCCTTGGCTTGCCAGGTGACTTGGCTGACCCCATCAGATTGTTCCAAGTGTATCAAAGGTTATTTAGTACTTAAGATCAGAGAAAAATATCTGGAGATGAGCTCTGGACAAGGCTTGAGTACGTTCAGTTTTCCCCTTCCTTGGTTTCTCTTTTCCTTTGCTGATTTCCTACACTTTTTCCACCTGTCCTCACCTGCAGAGATGTCTGGAAAGCAAAGGATTCAGGGAAAGGGAGCATATGAGCTGAAGTTTGAGCAAACATTGGGTTCTGCCATCAGTGGCGACATTACGGGCAGTAAAGCTGGATTTATAATCCTGTTTGACTCAGTCTCTGAAGAGTAATAAAATGAAGCCAGTAACTCATGAAATTTGGAAAATGTTACCCATTAGAGTCATTCACTAATGGCTAACGAGAAGCTTTCTCTAAAGTACAGGTGTCCTACAGCTTTTCTTCAGGCTAGAGGAGATATAATTGTTTGTGGTGAGTTTTGTGTAGCAAGGGAGGATTGCACTAATTCCTCAGGGACATTTTGTGACTCAGTTGTGGGTCCAAAACCAAGAGAGGCCGCAGCAGCCCTGTTGGCAAAGGCGATGCTTGTGTGACAGTTCTCCTTTCCTCCATGCTGTGGCCTGGAGCATCACACCAACGTCCCTCCGAAATCTTTCTACCTCCTCAACAGCCTTCCGAAATTGGGGTGTCTTATGGTTATACCCACTCCCACTCAAAAAATATTTCTGAATCTTTCAAATTCAGATCCTGCTAAGGAAAACAAGCTCTGAAGGGTTATCACCCATGGCTTTCACTTCTTTTAGGTGAGTATGTAGGGGAAGCCCAATCTACGGTGAGGAAATGTCATTTTTACAGCAATGTAGGGGTTGATACTTGCTCAGCTGCATTCAGCAGTGTTTGATTTATGAGCTCTCCGTAATAACATATCGTGGGTGGTCAGATCTGTGCTGTGTCAGTGCTCAAGAGTCTTAAAAGAGCTGGACCTCCTCTGGGCTAACCCATTTCTCTGCTCCAAAGGGTATTCTAGTGACAAACAACACTGGAATATGGAAAAGAAGTTTGTGACTTCTGTTTTCAGAGGCTCAGCGGTATTAAGATATTTGAAATTTTTATATGTCCAAGTTCTGAAGTTGAGCTTGGAGTAAATTATTGCATGTATTAAGTAAGAATATTAGCAACTCTGAACTAACTCTTCTTTCATTTAATGAGTTACGCTTGTCTGCAAAACAAAAGAGTTTGCTTTTGATTGTCTTTGATCTGGTTGCTTTCAAAATGGTGGGATAAAAATCTGTGTAGACCAGCTCATCGTCTGGTGTGAGAGGGGGGAAACTGCTCAGCCATTTAGGTTCATGTAGGTTTTTTTGTGGTTGAGAACTTTTTCCTCTACTAATGTGTCTGTTTTCTTCCCAAATGAATGGGGGAATTGTTGTTATTGGCCAACAGCTATTGGGGCACTTGGAGAATATGAGGAAATTTGCCTGAAGAATCCAGAAAAAAAAAAAATGTCTAAAGGAAAAAGTGAATAAAGAAATTGAAAGACAATGCAGGTCTCATAATTTTAAGATTTATTGTTTCCCACACCCAGATGAGTCTGAAACAGAAGTGCATGGCACAGAAAGATTCCCAACAGTAATTATGCACTGAATAATTAGAAAGGACATTTCCTGAATAATTAGAAAGAATGACACATTGAATGATAATTAGGGGAACATTTCATCCTGCACATGGCAGAGACCCAGGGATTTCAGTAAGAATGAGACGATCCGTGGCCACAGCGTCCAAGGGAGGAGCGAGCCGGTGGGTCCAGGTGCCGGGGCCGGATCCTGCTGCTAGTACTTGGGACATGTTGGCGGCAGCTTGCAGATGTTCTTGGTGTACTGGGGGCAGTAGGGGACCGGAGGGCAGCAGGGCTGCACGGGGGGGCAATAGCGTTGCACAGGGGGGCAATAGCGTTGCACAGGGGGGCAATAGGTCTGCACAGGGGGGCAGCAGGGTGTCACGTAGCTGTACTTCTGCACCGGCTGGCCCTGCAGGGCAGGGGGAGCGGGATTCGTGGCAGGACCCACGGGATTCATGGCAGGAGGTTTCGTGGCTGTGGCAGGACCTGCGGGAGCACATCTTCCTGGAGTCTTGGCAAAGCTGTAGGGAAGAGAGAAAGAGAGACCACTGAGCTGGCACGGTTACCCCACTGTAACCCTCTGCATTTTCCTTGGCTCTTCTTCTGCAGTGCGCTGGGAAATTTGGTTTTCCTCTGTTTTGTAATATTTGGGAAATCTTGACCCTGGAAGTGATACTGCCTTGTCTTTCATGGGATACCTTATGATGGTCCAGCTCTGATGGGAATTTCCCTACCAAGATGCTACTGCTGGCTTTTTAAGGTAAAATTTACTTCTAAAACGTCACCGACTTGCCTGAGATATCTCTCCCTCCATCACCAGCTAGTTTGGGAATTAATTCCTTGCTGGGTCCCAAAGACTCTGTCTCTGGAGATCTGGCCCTTCAATTACTCCTATTTTTCTGTCATCCCATCTGCTGTGAGCAAAGCACGGGCACCCTTTGCCTAGCTTACATGTTCAGACACCCAATCACCAAAAAATAAGAAATTTCTAAGACAAAAGCAAGGTCTAAACGCGGAACTAGTCAGCTAGAATTCCTGTGTGAGCTCCTGCTGCTCGGTGGTAGATAAATCAGTATCATCCAACTTACCCTTTGCTGGAGCAAGCAAGAGGAAGAGCACTGAGAGCTGATGCCGAATGAAGAAGGAACGGGGGATGGCGAACTTTTATATCTTCCAAAGGGTTGTCCGAGAAATTATGCACCTCTTGGCAATGCTGACAATTAAGTAGTCATGCTCATATTTATCTTCTGTGTCTAGTTTTTAGCATTTCCGATTTGACACAGTCAGGAAAACCAATTATGACTTTTTCCTTAACATGCTAATAGGCAACGAATTTCCCAATCTGCTTTATAAGGGAATTTTAAAGGCAGTTGCACATTTACACATTAAAACCGAACCTAACCCTAGAGTTATTAAGTGATTTCACGTTGGGCAACCAGTATTGCATCAACGTACAATTCAAAAGCGTTGACTCCTAACCTGTGTGCTGCCCCTTGGTCTGCATGGCAGACTCACGTTTTGATTGATATGTTTTTTCATGACACAAGGAACTGTAATTAACAGCCACAACTCACATGGACTCTCCTTAGCAGGAAGGCCTGTTGACTAGCTCAAATGCACCTGATGCCTCAACGCCTGAGATGACGTTAGAAGGACGTCCCCAGTTCCGACTTTTTTCACTCCAACCGTGAGTCCACCAGCCATCAGCTGTTTCTGCCTTGCGGCGTGACATTATCCTGTTTACATCCCTCCTAGAAGAAGGGGATTTCAAATCCGAAGTGGGAAGGATTTGTGCTGGGAAGCTGTCATCCATTGGCATTATGTTTTCAGATCCCAAATTGCTTCGGGCTCTCGTCTTAATTAAGCAGTTTTGTAATTTTTACTCACTGCAGTGTTTCGCTATTTACTACTAAATTTCTCTCACAGTGGCCCAAGGCTTTACTTTAGGCCAACGAAACTGGTAGTTTCCTGTGCCTTTTATCCAGGTGAGTGCTGCAGAAGCTCCTTGGGAGCATCCCATGGGTCTGTCCTGATGCAATTAGAACAAGGGGGTCCTGAAAGCTGCTTCCCAAGCTCAGAAGGGAGCAGCTATCCCTACTGAGATGGCCTTCCTATCTTTCAGGGTTTCTTTTCATTTCAAATTTGGGGAAAAATAATTTGTTACTCTGCCAACAGTTTTGTGAGATGCTAATTCATTCTGAATTTGAAAATACGTCCCAGGAAGGCATGGTTTCATGATCTGTTTGGGGTTCTTTTTATTTATTTTTTAAAGCCATGATTCAGAATTAAAAAAAAAGAGTTTTTAAGTCTTTCAGAGCTACCCCTTGTTTTGGAAAATCGCACCTGCAGTCTTCTGAAAAATACTGTGAGTTATAAGTAATCTAAGAAATCACAGAATCGCAAGGGTTGGAAGGGACCTCAAGATATCATCTAGTCAACCCCCCTGCTAAAGCAGGCTCTCCTAGAGCATGCTACACAGGACTTCATCCAGGCAGGCTTTGAATATCTCCAGAGAAGGAGACTCCACAACCTCCCTGGGCAGCCTGTTCCAGTGCTCTGTCACCCTCAGAGTGAAGAACTTTTTCCTCATGTTCAACTGAAACCTCTTATTTGTCAGTTTGTGCCCATTGCCCCTTGTCCTGTCTCTGGACACCACGGTAAAGAGACTGGTTCAGTCTTCGTGACTTCCGCCCTTAAGATATTTGTATGTGTTGATGAGGTCCCCTCTCAGTCTTCTCTTCTCCAGGCTGAACAAGCCCAACTCTCTCAGCCTTTCCTCGTAGGGGAGATGCTCCAGTCCCTTTATCATCCTAGTTGCTCTCCTCTGGACTCTTTCTAGGAGTTCCTCATCTTTCTTGAACTGGGGAGCCCAGAATCATAGAATTATAGAACGTTTTGGGTTGGAAGGGACCCCTACAGGTTATCTGGTTCACCCCCCCTGCAGGAGCAGGGACACCTTGAACGAGACCAGGTTGCTCACAGCCCTGTCCAACCTGGCCTGGAATGGTCCCAGGGATGAGGCCTCCACCCCCTCTCGCGGCAACCCCTGCCAGGGTTTCACCACCCTCACTGGAAAGAATTTCTTCCTTAGATCCAGTCTAAACCCACCCCAGTTCAGTTTAAAACCATCCCCCCTTGTCCTGTCACAGCTGACCCTACTAAAAAGCTTGTCCCCCCTTTCCTCTGGGCCCCCTTGAAGCCCTGACCGGCCGCACTCAGTTCTGCCTGCAGCCTTCTCTTCTCCAGGCTGAACACCCCCAACTCTCCCAGCCTGGCCTCCTAGCAGAGGGGCTCCAGCCCTCGCAGCATTTTAGTAGCCCCTCGGATCATTTTAGTAGCCCTCCTCCGGTCCCGCTCCAACAGGTCCATGTCCTCCTTGTGCTGAGGGCTCCAGAGCTGGACCCAGGGCTCCAGGTGAGGTCTCCCCAGAGCAGAGCAGAGGGGCACAATCCCCTCCCTTGATACTGGCCACGCTTCTCTTGATGCAGCCCAGGGCGGGGTTGGCTTCTGGGCTGCCAGCGCACATTGCTGGCTCGTGTCCAGCTTTTTGTCCATCAGTACCGCCAAGTCCATTTAGGTTGATAAAGCAGTATTTTGGGGGAAGGCCCTTCTGTCCAGTTCTCTGTCACGCAAGGTGTGTTTGTCTTGCCCTTTCCTAGATACTCAAAGTTAATCTAAGCTGAAGCTAATTGTTGAGCTCTTTGTGAACCTGATGCAGAGAAACAGGCGCTGGCAGAAGGAAGCGAGCGATCCTGTTCCAGAATAGATGTCTCAGCTAGATGGGCTGGTGACTGGGGAGATAAGGATAGTCTTAGGTTGTAAAAAGTAGAAAGAACTTTAGCATTTATTTTTAAGTGTGTGCAATTTTCATTGAAAACAGTAATTTGAAGTTGAGTGAAAGAAGGAGGGTTAGAGAAGACCTCTAGGCGCCGACTTGCATTTATTAGCCACCTCAAAATGTAATTCTGAGTCAGAATGACGAATGAGGGATGAGGTGCTGCTGAAGTAGGGAACTGAGAAAGACAGTCCCAGGCTAAACAGGGTACAGAAGAGCTCCCAATACGCTGTACCTAAATGCATTCATCTGCCACTGAAATGCATCTGGAATGATGGGCTTTCATCTTGAAATGTTGCGATGTGGGTGTTTTGGGATGAGTTTGAGAAGAAAAGAATGAGAAGCGGTGACTAAGAAGTCAGAGGTAAAGATAAATCTCAAGCAAAGAGGTCAAAGAATTAAAAAATCATAAACTTTTTCTATTTTTGGAAATGAAATTTTATTGTCTCGTCTGCATGTTTCGGAGGTTCATATATTATGCATAAGCTGCTGACAGCAGAAATCATTCCCAGACTTTTGGAGGAGAACATAAGCTGGATCTTGGGCACTAAATAAACTAAAACAGATCTGATTTATATTTTGAAGAAAATTCTAATCACAGATGAGGTATTTGAGGATTCACGCAAACCAAATACGGGAAAAGAGAACCGGCGATTCAAGCTTTAGGCATCGAGAGCATCCAAGGGAGGAGCGAGCCGGTGGGTCCAGGTGCCGGGGCCGGATCCTGCTGCTAGTACTTGGGACATGTTGGCGGCAGCTTGCAGATGTTCTTGGTGTACTGGGGGCAGTAAGGGACCGGAGGGCAGCAGGGCGGCACGGG